CGCTCTTCCAAATGATTCTTGCTGACTTTACATCATGGGCTGAGCTAACACAGAGATACGCTACAAGCCTGAACTTATGCTTTACTTCAAGATTGAGCAGCATAACAGTAATAGCCTTGTTTTTTCTGTCTTTCTGTTCCTTTTCATGGTTGTTTGGTAAAGCCATGTGAATGGATAATTGTCGTCTTAATCTCTAGAAATGAACAAGAAAGAGTTCTCTACTAGAAAAATACTTCTGTCAAGTAGAAGAAAAAAAATATTCTCTGAAAATTGTCTTCCAAATATATTTCTGTTATTTAAAACTATAATACTGAATTTAATTATTAGAATTTGCTGTGGTATTAACACCAGCTTTAAAGTAAAGGTACTTGATTACCACGCTTATTTATTTACCACATAAAACATCGCTCTGAAGTTAAGAGTACACCAGTCAAAATAAATGCTCCAGTAAAACTTGATTAAAAAGCACTGGTAGTTAGATATTTTCTCAGATAGTTAACTGTCTTAATAATATTTTTAACAAAATGCATACATTCATATATCTGATGTTTTCCCTCTCTAGCTTCTGTATATACCACCACTACAGTGCAGACATTTGTTTCTTATTTTGTGATGTAGTGGGAATCACCTAATTCCTGAGCTTGTTTTCTCACACCTTTTGTTTATTTTGGCTATTAAGGGTATAAAACACTGGTGTTAAAATTTTGCAGTAACTTCACAACCAGTTCCACTTTTAAACCTCTAAATCAAATTCTATTTACAAGCTGCACTTCTGAAGTTTAATTTCCACTGAGACTTCAGGTCTGTAAATGAGGCCTCCTAAAAGACTTCTAGTCGGGGAAGACTGTTACCAGGTGGAGATTTTTATCCAAAGACTACCCTACAAAACTGGAACAAGGGAGAAAAGGTGGGATAATCAGAAAAGAGACTGAGGGACAAAAAGAGTATGATATTATGTACCATCTCAGTGATAAATATCTTCTGTGCTATATCTAGGGGGCTACGTGGAGTTGTAAAGACATCTTTAGTTGTATAAAGCTAGTGAAAGGCAGAAGGTTCTTGCCCTCTAGCTCTAGCATAAAACAGGCAAAGCTGTTTTAGCACATCTATTGCAGAGTTACCACTTAAAAAGAATTTTTTTTTTGCCTTTTGATTGCACCTTTCAGTGTGGAACTCAGCGAAGTCTTAGAGCAGTTGAAGAATGAGAAAACTGCACATGAAGAAAATGGTGACGGATATTCCTGGAGATGTCTTCGATTGTATTTTCAGGTTTACCTCCCTGACATAGATTTTTCAGGTAATAGAAATCATGAAGTAAATGCAGATATGTCAGTTTACACCCAGCTGGCGCTGTAGTTCAAGTACTTATATTAACCTATTTTTGTTTCCAAAGAGTTAAGCAAGCAAATACAGTTATTTTACCAGTGTATACACTGTATCATTTTAATGGGAAGTATCTATTACACAATATGCGTTTAATATATTTATCTGGATTTATCTGGTGAAGAGGACTCTGTTTTTTAATTTTTTTGTAAGCCATAAATTCAGCCCAGAAATGGGGCTGCTGTCTAACATTGCCAATATGCAGTGTTTAGATATCTATCCCAAGTAAGGAAGCTCTTCACTTTTGATATCCTCCAAGTAGCATCTTTTACATCTGAACTGGTTATTCAAGGTTGTCTAAATTGAAAAGTTTCAGGTGGATATTTTGTTTTAACAGTTGATGCTGTGACTGTTACATGAAGAAAAAGCCTATTTGGAATTCAGAGAGAGAAGCAGGAAAGGTGAGGGAAGGTCAACAGCAATAAGAAGAGGGGGAAAAGTTTCTCTTCTAAGTACACTTACGTTCATGTTCGGAGGCCTTGCTTAATATATATCCTTAATAAACATCCTTCTGCTGAGCAAAAACACAAGAAAAGTTTATGTTCTTGAAGGCTGCTCGTTAAGATACATTAATATAAGAAAGCAACTGGCATCAGTTTTTCACCTACATCCTCAGAGGCATAAATGCAGCTGTGTACATTCTGTTTTGTACTGTGGCCATTTTGTACTTGGCAACTGCACAGCCTGCAGTTTGATTTTTTTTGTAAATATTAAATATTTCATTCACCTATTAAACATTAAAGCTTATTAAACAGGATAGACAGATGGTTCAGTTTCTTATGGTGGGCTGTATTGTGCAGCTTATATGGAGCTGTATTGCAAAACTCAGGCTATAAAGACATTTCAGTCACATTTAGACACTGTGAGTCAGATTTGCAGCTGGTGGAAATTAGTGCAGTTCCATTGATACTGATGATTGGTCTACTATGTGAAGCTGTCCATCAGAAAAGCAGGCATCATAAATTCTAGATTTATTCAGTACACAAATGTGCTTTGTTCAAAAGCTTGAAGTTTTCCTTGCTTTCGATGAGAATCTTCAGATAAATATGACCAGAGCTGTTACTGAACTTGGTAAACCAAATTCCCCAAGCATCTGTCTGCCAGAGTCCTTTAACGCTTGCACAGAGGCCAATTTCTTCTGCTACCAGGGAGTAAGAGTCCTGGGCTACCTTGCTCTCCCCAAAAGGCAGACAAAGCAAGGTAGCACCGAGGTCCCTCACACCGGCCTGGGCAGCAAAACTCATCCTTTTCACAAATTCTCATAAAATTTCTGAAATAGTCTTCAGTCTTGTATTTCCAATGTATATAATTAAACCTTCTCTGGACTGAATTCCTTCAATGGACACTTTCTTGTGACTTTTAGGTGATGTGCCTGAGAACAGCAGACTAAGAGTCCTGAGGCTTCAAACTTTCACTGTTTAACAGTGGGGTGATCCACCTTAAAAACAGTCATAGCATATGGCTGTTCTCCTAAATTGAGGGCTGTATCTTAAGTAAATACCATCTTAGCTTATCTTTCCTTTGCTGCTTGAATCTATCAGCACAGAAATTTGATATTGAAATGTTATCTTTTTGGAAAAGTCTGTGTAAGGGTTATGTGGGGCTTTTGATGTTGTTGCTGAGACTTTTGGATGGGTGGTGCTTATTCTGTATGTATTTTTTAAATAGAAAAAATATTAAGGGTAGAATTATTTTCTTTTGCTAATTAAAAACAAAAATACAACTAGAGCTGTGCATGGTAGACTCACAGAGCCACCCTGTTTAAAGCTTTACTAGCTGAATCACTAGAGACTTGAGTCAGAAAATCATCTCTATTCATGTCTAAAATTAAATATTAATTTTTTTTTTGAACTTGCTTCTCATAAAAAAAAAAAATACCAAAGCCTAGAGGGGCAAAAGTAAGTGGTTTAAATGCTTTCCTGAGTGAGACTCTATTTAGATATTCAGTATTGTATTTAAAATTTCTGCTATCCCATCAGACTCAATACTGGATAAAATTCTCCTCAGCGTAAATTGTTCTGCACAAATTAGTACAAACCAAACGAGGGCAGCTCAAGTCTCTTGCTAAAATTTAAATGTGGCTTAACCCAGGATTTCCCTGGACTACATAGGAATTAGTCATGGATTTGATCCTTCTTTCAGGATCAAAAATCAGTCTGAGAACTACTAGGAAGTGATGTAGGGATGAAAAATTTTAAGTGTTCTTTGGTGCAGACCATCACAGTCTGTCAGGTGATCTGTTAAGACTGTGACATGCACCTTTGTGCTTTGCTTTCCTATTTCTCTTCTGTTTTCCTTCTATTTCATGCCCTACTCACTTGGGCTCTATTTGTTGTTGTTGTTAAGTCCCTCACAATAATCTTTTCTGACACACAAATACACAAGAAGTAAAATAGATGAAACATGAAAATGGATGCTTTCAAACAAAAAAGTCATTGGTGATAAATTGCAGGTGGATGATATCTGACTATTCTTTATATCACATTTAGTGCCTCAACCTGCAGCAACCTCAACAACTATCAAGTAACCTCTCCCGCTCCCTTCCTTTTCCTGGGTGCCTTAGGGTATTGGAACAGTTATTCTGTTATGGAACAGCATTACATTCTTTTGGTAGTGAAGGCAGCTGTGAAGCAACTAAAATGTTTTCTTTAGTTGTGACCTAAGCATCCACTATAGATGTGTCAATTATTCCAGAGCAGCTCATACATCTTTAGTGAGTGGAGATATCTGAGTAACTTAAGTTGCTATGCTACATATTTATAAAAGAGCCTGCATTACGGAAACCTGCTAGTTTGCAGACAATCTCAGACCAGCTGTCTGTGAATGTGCTAGTTCCTAATGTAAAAACTGGTTTTGCCGGCTGGCAGGTAGTTTACTGTGTATTTATCCACAACTTGTCCTTTTTTCCTTTAATTAAGGTAGAACTGGAAGCCGCTTCTGAAAAGGTGACCTAATCAGTCAACCTGCTGGGAAGAGGGGGAAGGAGCAGGAGAAGGAGGAAGATGGCAGTAATGTGACCTGGGTTTCTGTGCTGCCAGTAGCAGCTACACTCCTGCTGTGATTCCAGCTGAGCAGTACTGCGTGGTACATTGTTTTCGTTGTTTCCTGATGAAGAGGGGAGGGAAATGGGGGGACGTTCATTTGCACAGCTACTCAAAACTCTCTGTGCTGAGGTATAGATGATGTAGAGGACATGGGTTGCTGCTCCATACAGCTATGTTGATTTAGTTAATTGAGTTGTCATGACAACTGCTTCATCTAAACTGCTACAGTGTATAGGCTGTCATTGGCACCTGACTACTCTAAGCAAACCATTATGCTTTCTAACAAAATTGGTAAACTCTTAACTATTTGGTCTGCTTACAAATAAAGAATGCAGTTTTAATGGTAGAAAACAATCAAGGACTTACTCCTTTTGTAGTATGTCACCAAAGTTTAATTTTAGTGACTATCAAGATAACTTCTATAAGTACGGTTTGTAGCATCAAACCAAGCTTGCCCAGAACGTTGCTGAAGAATGCCATTATACTCTCATGAAACCTAAGGGAACAGTAAGACGGAGAAAAAACTCATACAGTAAGTTTTTGCGTATATGTTGTAATAAGAATGGAAGCTTGACAAACAGTCCAGGAGCCTATTTCCTGCATGCATAGGGCTCAGAGAGGCAAAATGCAAGGTGAATTGTTACTTAAAATAAACTAAATTAAATCTCCCAGCTCAGATGCTTGCCATGTTAATTTGGGGTACTTTTCTTTGGTCTTTGCAAACTAAGTATCAAACCTGACATGAAAGTGACTTTCCATTCTGACTCTTACAATGCTCCCCCCTGGTATGTTCTAACTCCTCCTTCATTTCCTTTTGGCATTTCATCTTGAAACCCACAAAATAGCTGTCATTTCATCTTGTAACCCGTAAAATATAAAACAATATAGAATTGTTCTGAACCTAGAAGATAAGCCAACAGTGAATCTCAAGAGATTGATGGTGTTTAAATGAGCCTCTGAGTATATAGTGTAGATGACTGACTGCTCAGTGTTAAATACACTCTAGCCTGAAGAAAAGACAGAGCAGTTTAAATTTGAGTCAAGGAATAAAATAATATCATTTTTCACATTAAGTGAATATTATTTCATTTAAAGGGGGCTAGGATTCCTTGTGATAATGCTTTCTAGTGAACCCAGTGGAAACTTTAATATCCCTGTCCTGGCAGAATCTGGCAAATACTCACAGCTTAAGTGGCATTCCTTGGCACAACTGGTAGCTGAGTCACTTTTGATGTGCCACTTGGCTTCATAGCTGAACAAAAGGACCATCCCCGTAACCACCTGTTTTTGCAGACTTTCTAGCTCCTGGCTCTAAGTGAACATAGGGTGACAATGGGTGGTTATGGCGATGCTCCTTTTGTTTGGCTCTGAAGCAAAGTGGCACAAGTTACTGAAGTGATTTTCAGGTTAGTAAATCCTTGCCTTTGGAAGTGCACTGTGCTGAGGCTCTCCCCTCACATCTGAAATCTAAGTTTTGGATGATGGGAAAGTGTCTGGAGGTAGAGAAAAAGTTGCAGC